TGTCGCTCACAGACACCGAGTAGGTGCCCAGGTCCCCCTTCTCCGGGTTCTTGAAGATCAGCTTGGAGCTGTGGGAAGCAGACCAGACGGTGTCAGGGGCCTGCCCGTCCATGTCTGTAAGGCCGGGGCCCGTCCGTGTCTGTGGGATCGGGGCTGCCCGTACGTGTCTGTGGGATCGGGGCCCGTCCGTGTCTGCGGGATCGGGGCCCGCCTGTCCGTGTCTGTGGGATCGGGGCCGCCCGTCCATGTCTGTGGGATCGGGGCCGCCCGTTCATGTCTGCGGGATCGGGGCCCGTCCGTGTCTGCGGGATCGGGGCCCGTCCGTGTCTGTGGGATCGGGGCCCGTCCGTGTCTGTGGGATCGGGGCCCGTATGTGTCTGCGGGATCGGGGCCCGTTCGTGTCTGTGGGATCGGGGCCCGTCCGTGTCTGTGGGATCGGGGCCCGTCCGTGTCTGCGGGATCGGGGCCCGCCTGTCCGTGTCTGCGGGATCGGGGCCCGTCCGTGTCTGCGGGATCGGGGCCCGTTTGTGTCTGTGGGATCGGGGCCGCCCGTACGTGTCTGTGGGATCGGGGCCCGTCCGTGTCTGCGGGATCGGGGCCCGTCCGTGTCTGCGGGATCGGGGCCCGCCAGTCCGTGTCTCGGGGCCGGCCCGGCCAGTGGACTTACTGGTCGCCGGCGGTCTCCACCTGGAACCGGTCCTCGTCGGCGAGCTCCTCGTAGGCCTTGCACCAGGTGAAGCGCGAGGCGTCGGTCATCTCGGGGCAGTCGAAGCTAAGGTAGATGTTGCCCTCCTCGTCCACCCCCGCGCTGACCTCCTTCGTGCCTGCGGGGCGAGGACCCAGTGACCACGCGGACAGAGGGACACTGTCCTCTGGGCCTCCTCACAGAGGCCTGACTGGGCCTGACCGGGGCCTGACCGGGCCTGACCGGGCTTGATGGGGCCTGTCTGGGCCTGATGGGCCTGACGAGGCCTGACCGGGGCCTGACCAGGCCTGACTGGGGCCTAACCGGGCCTGATGGGGCCTGACCGGGCCTGATGGGGCCTGATGGGGCCTGATGGGGCCTGATGAGGCCTGACCGGGGCCTGACCAGGCCTGATGGGGCCTGACCGGGCCTGATGGGGCCTGACCGGGGCCTGATGGGGCCTGACCGGGGCCTGACCAGGCCTGACCGGGCCTGACCGGGCCTGATGGGGCCTGACCAGGGCCTGACCCAGGGCCTGACCGGGCCTGACCGGGGCCTGACCAGGGCCTGATGGGGCCTGATGGGGCCTGACCAGGGCCTGACCCAGGGCCTAACCGGGGCCTGATGAGGCCTGACCGGGGCCTGATGGGGCCTGACCAGGGCCTGACCCAGGGCCTGACCAGGGCCTGACCAGGGCCTGATGGGGCCTGACGGGGCCTGACGGGGCCTGACGGGGCCTGACCGGGGCCTGACCAGGGCCTGATGGGGCCTGACGGGGCCTGACGGGGCCTGACCAGGGCCTGATGGGGCCTGATGGGGCCTGACCGGGCCTGACCTACAGGCCTGACCGGGGCCTGACCGGGGACTCGTCCACATTCACACCATGACTCGAGGTGACTCGGGGTCCCCCGCCCGAAGCCGGCCGCCCGCCCCTGCTCACCCGGCCGGGCCTCCAGCAGCACAGGCTCCGAGGGCTCGGACGGCCTCCCCACGCCACTGGCATTCGCCGCCCGCACTCGGAAGACGTAGCTGTGGCCCTGCTGCAGGTCACACACCTGAGGGGGTGGGGGACGCCACGAGGAGAGAAAAGAAGGGAACTGTGCTATTGTCCACAGCTTGTGGTGAACATGCTTTCTCAAAAAAAAAAATAATAATAATAAATGTGTTCCTGCCCGGCCGGCATGGCCTGGGGTTGATCATCGACCCGGGAATCAGGAGGTCAGGGCACAGGCCTGGGCTGCAGGCTCCATTCCCAGGAGAGGGGCATGCAGGAGGCAGCTGGTCTGGTCCATGATCCTCTCTCATCATTGGTGTTTCTCCCTCTCCCTTCCTCTCTGATATCAATAAAAACATTTTCTTCAAAAGCCTTTATTAGCAACCGGTGAGCTAAGCAGTCAGTGCGGGGCCTGGGCGGGGAGAAGGATCGATACCCACGCCCCGTGGACAGCGTGGACGGCGTGGATGGCGTGGACGGCGTGGACGGCGTGGACGGCGCCCGCACACAGGCAGGTCTGAGCCTCCCCTTGCTCAGTGCCGCCCGGCGCCCAGGCCGTGCTCAGGGCAGGAAGGAAACTCGCACACGGTCCCCAGGGCCGTGGCGTTGAGGGTCCCCCGGGCACCGCTGTCCGGCCGCTGTGGCCACGGCCCGAGCCCGCTCCCGGAGGCAGTGGCTCAGGCGCCTCACCTTCAGGTAGCGGTTAGCCGTGGGCGCCTCGCTGACGGGGGTCCACTCCTCGGAGCCCTCCTCCCGGTAGTCCACGAAGTAGCCGGTCACCGGGCCGCTGCCTGCGTACACGGGCGCCTTCCACAGCAGCACCAGCGAGGTGTCCCGGACCTCACAGAAGGTCAGGTCGTAGGTGGGGCCTGGAGCAGGGGACCGGTCAGCCCCCCGCACACAGGGCGTCCCCTCTGGCCGTCCCCCTGGCCGTCCCCCTGACTGTCGCCTCTGGACGTCCCCTCTGACTGTCCCCCTGGCCGTCCCTCTGACTGTCCCCTCTGGACGTCCCCTCTTACTGTCCCCCTGGCCGTCCCCCTGACTGTCGCCTCTGGACGTCCCCTCTGACTGTCCCCCTGGCCGTCCCTCTGACTGTCCCCTCTGGACGTCCCCTCTTACTGTCCCCCTGGCCGTCTCCCTGACTGTTGCCTCTGGACATCCCCTCTGGCTGTCCCCCTGGCCGTCCCCCTGACTGTCACCTCTGGACGTCCCCTCTGGCTGTCCCCCTGGCCGTCTCCCTGACTGTTGCCTCTGGACGTCCCCTCTGGCTGTCCCCCTGGCCGTCCCCCTGACTGTCCCCTCTGGCCGTCCCCCTGGCCGTCCCCCTGGCCATCCCCTCTGGCTGTCCCCCTGGCAGTCCCCCTGGCCGTCCCCCTGACTGTCCCCTCTGGCCATCCCCCTGGCCGTCCCCCTGGCCATCCCCTCTGACTGTCCCCCTGGCTGTCCCCTTGGTGGTCCCGGGTGCGAGGCAGGGGGGGTGGGGGGGAGACTGGGGGAACGACCCCTACCTGGCTCGGGCGCCGTCCAGGCCTCGCACAGGAAGTGCTCGCTGGGGTCTGAGGGCTGCCCAATGCCCACCAGGTTGGAGGCGGCGATCTTGAACTCGTAGGACGCGCCCTCGGTCAAGCCGTCCACCTGTCAGGTGGGGAGAGTCAGCCACCGCGGGGCAGGTGCCGGCCGCTGGCCTGGCACGGAGACAGCGACCGCGAGGCGGGGCTGCCGGCTGCCTGACTGCCCCGTCCGGCATCAGGCACCTGCTGGGGCCACACCCGGCCCTGGGCACCCATCACCATCCTCGGCATCACCACCCGGCTGCCCGCCACTCACTCACCTGCCTGTCCTCCTCCCACTGCTTCTCAGAGAGAAAGGAAAACGCCGAGACCCTCCCGGCCCCATGGCCCCGGCCCCACGGATCCGCAGCCCCACGACCCTACAGCCCCACGGCCCGGCCCCCCAGCCCCGGCCCCAGCCCCACGGCCCGGCCCCCCTGCCCCACGGCCCGGCCCCCCAGCCCCGGCCCCAGCCCCACGGCCCGGCCCCCCAGCCCGAGCCCCACGGCCCCGGGAGGCGGAGGTGTGTCACGGCTCTGTCCCCGCGCTCGGAGAGACCGAGGCCCGGCCGCCGGCGCCCCGCGGAGCCCGACGCCCGCACGCACCGTCAGCAGCCGCTCCCGCACAGGCGCGGCGTTGACCTCGTGCCAGCTGTGGTGCTGGGCCTCGCGCTTGTCCACGAAGTAGCCCAGCACAGGCGCGCCCCCGCTGAACCGGGGCTCCTTCCAGCCCAGCGTCATGGAGCGGCCGTCGCAGCTCAGCAGCGTGATCCCGACCGGGTGGGAGGGCACGGCTGTGGGGACACCACGTTACCATGGCCACAGTCCGTGGCCGTCCACCACGGCCCCCGCCCCTCTCCCGGCGACCTCGTCGCCATCTCTGTTTCTCTCTCTTTCCCGGGAAAGTTGGGAAGTGCTCTCAGAGCCCAGCCGGCGTGCTCAGGGGATGAGTGTGACCTATGACCCAGGAGGTCAGGGTTCGGTTCCCGGTCAGGACCCAGGCCTGGGTAGCAGGCTCGATCCCTAGTATCGATGTGCAGGGGGCAGCTGATCCATGATTGTCTTCATCAGTGGTGTTTCTCTCCCTCTCGCTTCCGCTCTGAAATCAATAAAATCTATTAAAGTCCTCTCATATATATTCCCAACAACCCTCCCCTCATCTATTTGGAAGATTCCAGGGCGATGATGGCGTCAGAGTGGCCTGGACACAGAAACAGGACTCTCCCGCTGACGAGTAAAGCCGGGGGGCTGGCTCCTCCCTCCCCTTGCCCGGTCCTCTCCCCCATCCCCTTGCCCCCCCAAACCCGTGAGGAGTGGCAGCCGCCCTCGGCCAGAGGGCCCCAGAGAACCTGCCTGTCCTGCAGGGTCACCAGGTTCCGGCTTCCAGGGAGAAGGAGGGGGGCTCCTGTGAGAACCCCGCCTGGGGGGGCCCTCTTCTCTCACAGGTGGAGAGGAGGTGTCTCTGCTCCCCTTCACCCTGCGCTGAGTCGCTACATCGGGCGCCCTCTGCTCCCTGAGACTCGGGTGAGCTGCCGGCAAGCTCCTCTTATCAGAGGACAAGAACCTAACCCCTGCCGAGACCAGTGTGGCTCAGTGGATAGAGCGTCAGCCTGTGGACTGAAAGGTCCCTGGTTCGATTCCGGTCAAGGGCATGTACCTTGGTTGCAGGCACATCCCCAGTAGGGGGTGTGCAAGAGGCAGCTGACCGATGACTCTCTCTCATGGATGTTTCTAACTCTCTATCCCTCTCCCTTCCTCTCTGTAAAAAATCAATAAAATATATTTTAAAAAATAAAATAAATAACAGTTTTTAAAAAGAGCCTAACCCTGGCCCTCAGCTCCCAGCTCCCGGGGTACAGGGTGAGAACATAACCATGCTCCTCGGCTCCGCGGGTGCCCTGAGCTGTCTGGCCGCGAACTGTTATCCTCATCAGCACACAGGAGCCTGTGAGCGGTCCCGCAGAGCCCACGTTCTCTGGGGCGGTTCACGCCGCCCTCTCTCGGCCACGCTGCCCACGCAGCGCACGTGAGTGTCGGCAGAAGCCCCGCCCCCTGGGAAGGAGGACACGGAGCCGGCGGACTCACTGAGCGCGGCCTGGACCTTGATGGGGTCCGACTCCTGCGAGTTCTCGCTGGTGCCCACGGCGTTCACGGCTTTCACGCGGAAGATGTACTGCTCGCCCGTGGTCAGGCCGTGCACCACGAACCTGGGGAGACAGGGCGTGGCAGCGGCGTGGCCTTCCCCCTTCACCAAGACAGCCGCCATGGGGCTCGGGAGGGTTCTATAAGTTAGTGATTCTCTCTCGTCACTGATGCTTCTATCTCTATCTATCTCTCCCTGAAATCAATAAAAATATATTTAAGATATACATACACTGAGTGGCCAGATTATGATGATCTCTGAACGCATAATAATCTGGCCACTCAGTGTCTATCCTATATAAAAAGTTTATATTCAAATTGTCCCTTGACCAAGAGTTTGACCAGCAGGCATACCGGCCAACCGCCCAAGACCCCTCCCCCTGGCCAGGCTGGCTGGACCCCACCCATGGGTGAATTCATGCACCAGGCCTCTAATATGTATTAGAGGCCTGGTGCATGAATTCACACATACACACACACACACACACACACACTCTGAGTGGCCAGATTATTTTGTGTTTAGAGATAATAATCTGGCCACTCAGTGTACATGTGTGTGTGTGTGTGTGTGTGTGTGTGTGTATTATTTTTTAAAGACCTCAGCTCAGGTGCTTTGCCTGTGGTAAGAGCTCAGTAAATGTAGAATTCGTCATTTAAGTTACAATGTATAAAGTGCCATGGATCTATGGAGCCTGCAGCATGGTGACCATCGGTAACCCTCCGCCGGGGCCTCGGGAGGTGGGGAGCGGGAAGGGCCGCACCTGTTGTACCCGATGGGCTTGTGGTTGCAGGGCTCCCACACGTTGGAGCCCGCCACGCAGCAGTCCACGTAGTAGCCAAGCAGGTCCTCGTGGTGCTTGGGCCGGTCCCACTCCACCACGACCGACGTCTTCGTGTCCCGGGAGACGAGGACCCGGCCCGGCGCTGAGGGAGTTACTGCGCGGGGGAGACAGACAGGGACACAGTCAGGGATACTGGGGTTCCGGGAGACACGCCACGGCCTCCCAGCCCACGACCTCTCTGTCCACGGGGCGTGGCGGGCCACGTTCGGGCCTTCAGATAAAACGTGGACGAGGAGGAGGAACGCGAGGGCAGGCGAACCCTCCGAGGGCCCAGGGGTGCCTGCCGAGCGTCTCCATCCTACGAGGCTCCGCCTGACCTCACGGAAAAGGGGGGACAATCATGGAATCTCCTATCCCTCCACCCGGACGGTGAGGGACCTTCCAGGGACACGGGCGCTTTGGCTGAACGGGGAGGAATTTTGCTGAAACAGAAGATGCCGATGGCAAGGTAGCCCGTCACCACCCTGTCCTGGGCATCGCTGATGGAACTCAGACTCAAACCACGAGTTCACCAGGACGGTGGTCGGCCAACTCGCTAGTCCAGAGAGCGGCTAACCACGGCTAGCGAGCCACCGTTTGCCGACCACTGGCCTAGGGCTTTGCACCTCATCTGGCATCTGGCATCGCCAGGGTGGGGACCTCAACCAGACAAATACTCCAGTCCATCCAGGGACTGGGATTTTTCATAAACATAATTTTTATTGGCTTCAGAGAGAAAAGGAGAGGGAGAGAGAGAGGGAAACATCTATGATGAGAGGGAATCACAGATCGGCTGCCTCCTGCACGCCTCCCACTGGGGATGGAGCCCGCAACCGGGCCTGTGCCCTGACCGGGGATCAAACCGTGACGTACTGGTTCCTAGGAGCTCAGCCCCGGAGCCATGCCAGCCCGGTGGGACTGGGTTTTTTAAGTGATCACTGCCTAAACGTGTCACCCATTCCTCAGTTCCCACGATGAGGCTCGGGAGAAACGCTGAGAAAGGGCCAAAGTGAGGCCTGGGAGCTCCTCTCTGGTCACGTGAATGACAGCGCCTGTGCAGGGCTAGCGTTTTCACCGCCCAGAGCCGCAGCCCGTCCCACTCAGGCCCCTGACCCCGGGCCCCGCCCCGTCCCACTCAGGGCCCCTGAGCCCGGGCCCCGCCCCGTCCCACTCAGGCCCGTCCTGCCCCCGGAACCCGCCCTGTCCCACTCAGGGCCCCTGACCCCGGGCCCCGCCCCGTCCCACTCAGGGCCCCTGACCCCGGGCCCCGCCCCGCCCCACTCAGGGCCCCTGACCCCGGGCCCCGCCCCGTCCCGCTCAGGGCCCCTGACCCCGGGCCCCGCCCCGTCCCACTCAGGGCCCCTGACCCCGGGCCCCGCCCCGTCCCGCTCAGGGCCCCTGACCCCGGGCCCCGCCCCGTCCCACTCAGGGTCCCTGACCCCAGGCCCCGCCCCGTCCCACTCAGGGCCCCTGAGCCCGGGCCCCGCCCCGTCCCACTCAGGCCCATCCTGACCCCGGGCCTTCACCCCGTCCCGCTCAGGGCCCCTGACCCCGGGCCCCGCCCCGTCCCACTCAGGGCCCCTGACTCCGGGCCCCGCCCCGTCCCACTCAGGGCCCCTGACCCCGGGCCCCGCCCCGTCCAACTCAGGCCCGTCTTGAGCCCAGCACTGTGGTCACGCTCACCCGTGGTCTCCTGGGCCTGGATGGGGGGCGTGATCTCTGACGGGTCGCTCAGCCCGTGCTTGTTGGCGGACAGAACCCGGAACACGTAGGGCTTCCCCTCGGCGAGGTCAAAGACGGCGTAGCGCGGTGACCGGACCGCTGTCTGGGCATTGACCCGCTGCCAGCTGCCGCTGCCCACCATGGACTGCAGGGAGAGGGGTATGACCGTGGAGGGGCTGTGACCATGGAGGGGCTGTGACCATGGAGGGGCTGTGACTATGGACTGCGGGGAGAGGGGTGTGACCGTGGAGGGGCTGTGACCATGGAGGGGCTGTGACCATGGAGGGGCTATGACCATGGAGGGGCTGTGACCATGGACTGGGGGAGGGGCTGTTACTATGGACTGCGGGGAGAGGGGTGTGACCGTGGAGGGGCTGTGACCATGGAGGGGTGTGACCATGGAGGGGCTGTGACCATGGAGGGGCTGTGACCATGGAGGGGCTGTGACCATGGACTGGGGGAGAGGGGTATGACCGTGGAGGGGCTGTGACCATGGAGGGGCTGTGACCGTGGACTGTGGGAGGAGCTGTGACCGTGGAGGGGCTGTGACCATGGACTGGGGGAGGAGCTGTGACCATGGAGGGGCTGTGACCGTGGAGGAGCTGTGACCATGGAGGGGCTGTGACCGTGGACTGGGGGAGGGGCTGTGACCGTGGACTGAGGGGAGAGGGGTGTGACCGTGGACTGCAGGGAGAGGGGCTGTGACGGGGCCGTGACGCCCCCCCCTCCCAGCTGGTCAGAGGGAACCAGGAACTGCCGTCCTACTGTGGGGTGCCCATCCCCTCCTCCGACACCGGGCCCTCAAACACCTTTTGTGGTGTGTACAAAAGGGAAGCCGGTGTGAGAGGTGAGAATTACTTAAAGTGGAAAATGTTGGCCAACAGACTTCTCACTCGAGAGCAAATAATTGTGTCGCGTGACTCTGGCTCCCACGGCTTTTCGTGGCCACAGAGGATCTGCCAAGGTGGCCGCGGCCAGGGCGGTCATGCCAGCCGCTGACACCACGCTTCGAGTGCCAAGGACAGACAGCGGGCGGCCGGATCCACGGCATGTGCAGAGGATGTGAGGTTTGGTGTGTGTGTGTGTGTGTGTGTGTGTGCGCGCGCACGTGTGTACCTGCGTGTATGTGCATGCGTGTGTATGTATGTGTGTGCGTGTATTTGTGTGTGCGTGCATGTGTGTCATATATGTGTTCCAGGGCCACAACACGCTGGCTATTTCTTTCCTTTTTTTGTTGTTTTTGCTGCTATTGTTCATCTTCACCCAAGGATATTTTTCCATTGTTTTTAGGGAGTGTGGGGGAGGGCGGGGAGAGAAACATCGATGTGAGAGAGACACATCACTGGCTGCCTCCCCACAGGCACCCCAACCAGAGGGGAATCCAGCCTGCAATGAGGTGCACACGCCCTTGACCAGAATCGAACCCACAACCCTCCGGTCCCCGGGCGGACACTCTAACACTGAGAACGCCCGGTCAGGGCCCCAGCTGGTCTGTGTCTGACCAGAGCGGCTGCCTGGCCACGGCCACGGGAGTGTGGACCCTCTACTGGCCACCACCATGGCCACGCGGCTTCTGAACAAATCCTCCCGGGCCCGGCCGCCTGGTGTTCGGGGGAAGACTACATCCGGGGCTGCACTATAGGTGGGGACTCAGCCTCCTGAAGAGGGGGCGGGACGGGCTTGCTCAGAAGGAGGAGGGGGATGGGGGGCAGTGGGACAGAGCCGGGCCAGTCCCCGGAGGCCGTGACCTCGCTCACCGCCCACAGGTGCCGGCAGGAGCCTCCCTCTCAGAAGGGACGGACGGCTCTGTGACGGACTCCGGAGCGCCCGTCTCTGAGGCCCCCGCGCGGCAGAGCGGCCCAGGAATAGGAGGTGTCGGGATGGGGCGTACCTTCTCGATGAAGTAGGTCAGGGGCTCCCGGCCCCGGGGCGTGGGGGGATCCCAGCTGAGGACCACGTAGGTCCTGCTGACCTCCGAGGCATGCACGTTGGTGGGCGGCCCCGGGATCAGCACGTCGCCTGCAGGGGAAACAGCGGCGAGCGCCGGTGAGTCTGGCCCAGGTGAGGCCCTGGAGCGGCCGAGCGGCCATGTGGGCAGTGCACGTCATAGCCAGCGGTTGAGTGGCCTTAGCATGTCGTTAGCATATGTCGCTTCGATTGGTTGAACGGCCAATGACGACGGGACCCTTAGCATGTTAGGCTTTTATTATATAGGACGTTCATGCTTTGTCCTCTGACTCTGGGCTCAACTGAAATCTTTGGGTTTCGGACCAATAACGCTAGATGCTCCTTCTCGGGAAGTCAACCTCTCTGGACGTCCATGGGAGGACTGTGAAGAAGCGTGTAGGCCAATAGGGACATGATTTGACGGGGAAGGCCAGTCCGCTTAGGGAAATGTTAGAGGTAAAGCTTCTGCCCAGACAACACTGAGCCCTCGCCCAGGAACGGACGGAGTGAGAGGGGAGCGGGCTCCCGCCATCCTCAGGCCTCAGGGTCAGTTTGGTGGCTTCTTCCCGTCCCCAAAAGAATGCGTCCCTGGACCTCACATAACACAGCAGTGAGTGTCCACGCGGCCACATGGACCTCCATCCTCGCTCCCTCCTTCTGCCTGGCATGGTTTCCAGCTTCCCAGGGCCTTAAGCCTGCAGGCCGGGCCCCTGGTGCTAATTCACCTGTAAGACTGTCCCTGTCACACAAGCGCGTTCCCCCTCTCTCCTGCCTCCAATGGCGACCTCAGGCCCTGGGGGGTGAGGGCGGCTTACCTTCAAGCTCATCCTGAGAGATCACAATCTCCTTATCTTCCCCCAGGCGGACGGCTGCAGAGAGAAGAGGTGATGCTAAGTTTGACACAGAAAGGTCCCGTGAAAAAAGCACTATTTTGCCGAAGCCGGTGTGGCTCAGTGGTAGAGCGTCGGTCTACGGACTGAAAGGTCCCGGGTTTGATTCCGGTCAAGGGCATGTACATTGGTTGCGGGCACATCCCCAGTAGGGGGTGTGCAAGAGGCAGCTGGTCGATGTTTCTCTCTCATCGACGTTTCTAGCTCTCTATCCCTCTCTCCTCCTCTCTGAAAAAATCAATAAAATATATTAAAAAAAAAAAAAAAAAAAGAAAAGAAAAGAAAAGAAAGAAAAAAGCACTATTTTGCCTGCTGGGTGTGACTCAGAGGTTGAGCATCGGCCCATGAACCAGGAGGTCACGGTGTGATTCCCGGTCAGGGCACAGGCCCGGGTTGCGGGATTAATCACCAGAAGGGGGCGTGCAGGGGGCAGCCGGTCAGTGATTCTCTCCCATCACGGATGTTTCTCTCTCTCTCTCTCCCTCCCCTTCCTCTCTGACATCAACAGAAACATTTAAAAAGCACCGTCTCCCTCGCTGCTAGGAGGCACGCGTGGCCTTTGCTCCGATGAGGACGGCATGCTGCCTGCCCTGAGGTCCTCGGGGGAAATGGTCCTGACAACATTCAGCACTTGCAGCTCTTTATTATTATTGTTATTATTATTATTATTATTATTTTAAATATATATTTTATTGATTGTTTACAGAGAGGAAGAGATAGGGATCGAAAGTTAGAAACATCGATGAGAGAGAGTCATCAATCAGCTGCCTCCTGCATACACCCCACTGGGAATGTGCCTGCAACCAAGGTACATGCCCTTGACCGGAATCGAACCCGGGACCTTTCAGTCCGCAGGCAGATGCTCCATCCACTGAGCCACACCGGTCAGGGCAGCACTTGCAGCTCTTTACAGTGGACTCGAGAGGCCATGCAGGTAAGGGACACGCAGGGGCTCCCTTAAGAGCATAACTAGGGTCCCATCCCAATAGGGAGCCTGCATTGTGTAAAACTGAAATTCCAGAACAGAGTGGCTAGGTTTCCACCCCTGGCCCCTCATGTGATGTAACTACACCCTCTGTGGGCCTGGCAAAGCCCGGTTCTCCGGGAACCGGATTCCGGTGCAGAGTGGCAGGAAGGCGCCCTGAGGAATACACTGTGGCCTGCCTCCACGCCCCCAGGGCACTCACAGGAGCGATGGGAGGCCACGGGAGGCCACAGAGACCACAGGAGGCCCGGGGAGACCACGGAGGCCACAGGCGGCCACGGAGGCCATGGGACACCACAGAGGCCACGGGATGCCAGGGGAGACACGGGAGGCCATGGGAGACACGGAGGCCACAGGAGGCCACGGAGGCCACGGAGGCCATGGGAGACACGGGGGGATCACGGAAGCCACGGGAGGCCATGGGAGACACGGAGGCCACGGGACACCACGGAGTCCTCGGGAGGCCACGGGAGGCCACAGGAGGCCACGGAGGCCACGGGAGGCCATGGGAGACACGGAGGCCACGGGACACCACGGAGACCTCGGGAGGCCATGGGGCACCAGGGGAGACACGGGAGGCCATGGGAGACCACGGGACACCATGGCCCTCTCTGGCCCTCCCACCCATGACCATGTCCTGAGGCTCAGACACCGTCAGGGCAGGGAGAAAGGAAGACTCACACAGCACGGCCCCCTGTGCCCCGGTCCGAGCCGGACCTGACCCTTTAGGGACGCACCGTGTAACCTCTGGAGGTCGGCGGGGTCGAGGGCGGCCACGGCCTCCGAGGCGCGGGACGGCCGGCTGACGCCGGCGCTGTTGATGGCGCGGACACGGAACTCGTAGGACCGGCCCTCCAGCAGCCCCGTCACCGGGTACTTGCAGACTTTGACGGGGGCATCGTTGCACTGCACCCAGTTGTTGGTTCCCACCTCACACCTTCGGAGAGAAGAGAGGCAAGAGTAGCAGCTGCATCATAAAAGATCAATATAAAATGTGTTTTTTTAAAAAGGAATCCACTCTCTTTTCCCTAATTAGGGAAAAAGTCCTCTGACCCGCACGTGCTAACCTGCTGCAGCCCAGTTCTGTGTTTTGTTTTTTTAAATATATTTTATTGATTTTTTACAGAGAGGAGGAGAGAGGGATAGAGAATTAGAAACATCGATGAGAGAGAAACATCGACCAGCTGCCTCCTGCACACCTCCCACTGGGGATGTGCCCTCAACCAAGGTACCTGTCCTTGACCGGAATCGAACCTGGGACCCTTCAGTCCGCAGGCAGACGCTCTATCCAGTGAGTCAAACCAGTTTCGGCAGAGCTCTGTGTTTTTATCGGGGGGGTTTAAATATGTTTTTGCTGATTTCAGAGAGAGGGCAGGAGAGGAAGAGAGATGGAAACATCCATGATGAGAGAACCATAGATTGGCTGCCTCCTGCACGCCCCCCTCTGGGGATTGAGCCCACAGCCCGGGCCTGTGCCCTGACCAGAAATTGATACTGGACCTCCTGGTTCATCGGTCGACGCTGAGCCACTGAGCCACACCAGCTGGGCTGTGTCTTTATCTTTCTAATGGGGGATTATTACCCGGGAAGGTGCATGGAGCCACATGGCCAGAGAGTTGGGCAAATGATCAAACGTCGCAGGAAAACTGAAAACAGCTCTTGTTTTCTGCTTTTCTAATTCCAGGTAAACCCTGACCGACCCCCGCTGTGCTTCAGGTCTGACTCCAGGGGTGGGAATACACCCTGACACGAGCATTTTAGCTAAACAAGGAGCTTGGTTAATTAATTCTGGTCAGGGCACAGGTCCGGGCTGTGGGCTCCATCCCCTGTAGAGGGCGTACAAGAGCAGCCAATCAATGATTCTCTCCTCATGGATGTTTCTCTCCCTCCCCCTCTCCCTTCCTCCCTGACATCTATTTACAAATCTATTTAGAGAATGGTGTCGTGAGCCGATTGTAGGACACCTGGTCCAGTACCGCGTCCGGGTACCTCATGGAACATTCAGGAACACCCGCCCGTGAGAGCCGAGGCACTCACCGGTCGACGAAGTAGCCGATGACGGCGCCCTCAGAGGTGGTGTTGGGCGGCTTCCAGGTGACGATGACGTAATCACGGTTGGCGTCGTGGCACCGCACGTCCACGGGCGCGCCCGGAGCCCCTGTGACCAGCGGGTCCGCATCTGGGGGGGAGGGGGCGGGGGGAGGGGGCTGTGATGAGAGGCTCTGGATGGGACATCTAAAGGCTGGCGAGCCGGGCCCCGTGGCGCCGGGGCTGAGTGTCGACCTTTGAACCAGGAGGCCGTGGTCTGATTCCCGGTCAGGGCACACGCCCAGGTTGTGGGCTCCATCCCCAGTGCAGGGCCTGCAGGAGGCAGCCAATCGATGTGCTTCTCTCACATCAATGTTTCTCTCTGTCTCTCCCTCTCCCGCTCTCTCTCAAAAAACAAAAATAAAACTGGGGGGAGTTCACAGAAGAAACAATAGCAAAAATGTGGCCTTTTCAGCAGCTGGGAGTGTGACCATGGAAGCTTAGATATTCCAAAGTCCTTGGAGGTCAGGGACCCGCTGAGCTGTTCTCAGAGAGTTCTGAGCACGCTCATCCCGCTGGGTGTGCCTGTGCGGGGAGGCCGGCCGTTCTGAAGCTGAACAACAGCTGGGGACCCCCAGAACCATGGGGACCTCGGTGCCCAGTCCATGGGAATCGGGGACCTGGGGTGCCCCCCCCGCACCCTGAGCCTCCTGGTCCTGCTCTGTCCTCAGTGACTGGAAGCTGAGGCTCTGGACATGGAGCCAACATATCCTTTCAGAGTTCCCGGGCGCCTGGGACAGGTAACCGTCACCACCGCTGCCGCCCGCCCGCCTCTCCCGGAGCTCCCACACACACCCCGCCCCTCCTCCCCCCCAGGCCCAGAGCCTGCTCCGCCCGCCGCTCCCAGGGTCCCCCCAGCCCATCCCCCCGGCCCAGGCCCGGAGCCTGCCCGGCCGGCCGCTCCCCAGGGTCCCCCCAGCCCATCCCCCAGCCCAGGCCCGGAGCCTGCCCGGCCCGCCGCTCCCCGGGGTCCCCCCAGCCCATCCCCCCGGCCCAGGCCTGGAGCCTGCCCGGCCCGCCTCTCCCCGAGGCCCGCCCGCCCCCAGGGCCCCCCACCCCCGGGTCCCCCCAGCCCATCCCCCCGGCCCAGGCCCGGAGCCTGCCCGGCCCCCAGGGCCCCCCACCCCCGGGTCCCCCCACCTCTCGGGCCCCCCGCCCCCGGCCCCGGCGGAGCCGGACCTCTGACGAAGAGGAAGGCGCGGTGCTCGCTCACGCCGCCGCGGGACAGCACTCGCAGCGTGTAGAGGCCCTCGTCGTCCTTGCTGAGCTGGCTGAAGGACAGCGCCGCCTGGCCCTCCCCGAAGAACATCCGCGTCCACGGCGACTCCCTCAGCAGCACGTCTGCGGGGGGTGAGGGGGGGGTCAGCGACCGAGGCCCACACCCGGCCCGCCCCCGTGCCCACATGCCCCCGCCCACATCCCCTGTGCCCACATCCCCCCGAACACACCCCCCCACACACGCCCCCGCCCACACGCCCCTGCCCACCCCTCCCCGCCCACATCCCGCGCCCACATCCCCCCGCCCACATCCCCTGTGCCCACATCCCCCCGCCCACCCCCCCCCGCCCCATCCCCCCGCCCACATCCCCCTGCCCACATCCCTCAGCAGCACGTCTGCGGGGGAGGGGGGTCAGCCAGGAGCGCCCGCAACGGGCCCGCCCCCGTACTGGGCCCCCGGACCGCTGCCTGCCATGCCCACCATGCCCACACGGGACGCCCCAGGCTCTACGGACTGAGAGCCGGGTCACAGAGCCCACGGGGAAGCAAGGCCTCGGTCGGTTCGCGGGACGCCGCACAGGCAGAGGGCCACGCCGGCGAGAGGAGCGAGGCTCCTGTCCACGTGGTTCCCCAGCCCTGGCCGGTGTGGCCCAGTGGACAGTGCCCCGGCCCGATTCCACACAAGGGCGCCTGCCTCTGCGGCAGGCTCTACCCGGCTCCAGTCGGGGTGCGTGTGGGAGGCAACCACCCGTGTTTCTCTCTCTGTCTCTCCCCTCCCTCACTCTCTCCAAGTCAGTGGGAAATATCACCGGCTGAGGATAACAGCACCGCGAGTGTTGGTCTCCCCGTGCAGGGAGGCCCCGGCTGCCGCACTCACCGTCCCGGTACCACTCGACCCGCGGCTGCACGCGCTTCAGGTCCGGTGTCACCAGCAGCGTGCACTTCAGCGTGACCGTCTCGCCCTCCCTCCGGAAGGTCACCCCGAACTTCTCCAGGAACTGGACGTCGAAGTGCGTGTACGGAACCACGGACGGCAAGGGCACTGCGGAGGGAGGGAGGTCACGGGAGGGCCCACGGTCAGGCAAGGGACACACGCTCACCTCCACAGGAGAAAACGGGGACACATGCCCACGTCCGCCTGGGACACGGGGACACACGCCCACGTCCGCCTGGAACACGGGGACACACACTCACTTCCACAGGAGAAAACGGGGACACATGCCCACGTCCGCCTGGGACACGGGGACACACGCCCACGTCCGCCTGGAACACGGGGACACACGCCCACGTCCGCCTGGAACACGGGGACACACGCTCACTTCCACAGGAGAAAACGGGGACACACGCCCACGTCCGCCTGGAACACGGGGACACACACTCACTTCCACAGGAGAAAACGGGGACACACGCCCACGTCCGCCTGGAACACGGGGACACACACTCACTTCCACAGGAGAAAACAGGGACACACGCCCACGTCCACCTGGGACACGGGGACACACACTCGTTTCCACAGGAGAAAACAGGGACACACGCCCACGTCCACCTGGGACACGGGGACACACATTCGTTTCCACAGGAGAAAACAGGGACACACGCCCACGTCCTCCTGGGACACGGGGACACACACTCGTTTCCACAGGAGAAAACAGGGACACACGCCCACGTCCACCTGGGACACGGGGACACACACTCGTTTCCACAGGAGAAAACAGGGACACACGCCCACGTCCACCTGGGACACGGGGACACACATTCGTTTCCACAGGAGAAAACAGGGACACACGTCCACGTCCGCCTGGGACATGGCTGCAGAGGAAAGGGAACCCGTGGCGTGAACGATGGGCAGGAGGCGGCGGACACAGGTGTGTCCACGAGGGGGCCTCGCCCGGGACCGTCCAGGCAGGCGGGCGCGGCTCAGGGCCGGGTCTGCCGTGTCTGACAGTGAGCGGGCCGGGAAAGGAAAACTATCCTCCCGGAGGGCGGCCACAGCCTGTGTCCAGGAAAGGATGTGGATTCCAGCTTTTCCCAACGGAAAGCACCATGGCTCCCCCGGGGCGGCACTGCGCACACGCCAGCAGACGCTGCGGCTTGGAGAGCCTTTCGGAGCAAACTGACCTTTAGAAAATAACTCTTTAGCCCGGCGAGCATGGCTCGATGGTTGAGCATCAACCCATGGGCCAGGAGATCACGGTTGGATTCCCCGTCAGGGCACAGGCCCAGTTGCAGACTCCATCCCCAGTAGGGGGCGTGCAGGAGGCAGCTGGTCCGTGATTCTCTCTCATCACTGATGTTTCTCTCTCTCTCCCTCTCCCTTCCTCTCTGAAATCAGCACAAATCTATATGGTAATAATAATAATAATAATAATAAATTTAAAATGAAGCACTGTGTCAGGATATACTTTTCTGCCTAAAAGGGGGTAAAGCCGACTTACAGCCGATCGGGAGTCCCATCGAGCGAATCGGCTCCTCTTCCGCTCGGAACCCTGCAAGGCAACGGGGGTGGGCAGAGAGGGCCGAGGGTGTGGGGGCGTGCCCCCCCTCCCCGCCCTGTCCCAGTGCCCCTCCCCGTCCCGGGCACTCGCTCACTTTTCACCACCACGGCGGCGTTGGTGGAGGCCTGCCCATGCACGTTGGTGGCCACGGCGGAGTACGTGGCCGTGTCGTCGAAGTCCGCCCTGGAGAGAAAGAGCCAGCGTCGGCCATTCCCCAGGAGCAGGGCCCTGCCTCTGCACACGGCGTCCCGAAAGCCGCCAGGCGGCCTTGGTCCTCGTTCCCGAAAGCCGTGCCTCAGAACACCGCCAGCTCTGTCCGGGACCAGGTGTCTGTACCCACACCGGTGAGGTACCGACTTCACAGCAAGCCAGAGGCCCGGTGCACGAATTCATGCACAGGTAGGGCCCCTAGGCCTGGCCAGCGGTCAGGCCGATCAGGTTCCCCGCCTCCCTGCCTCCTCCTTCCCGCGCTCCCTCAGTGCCCTGCCGCAGCACCACTGGCCACCGCCATGGTCCATGCCACCCCCTGGTGGTCGAACTCCCGGTCTCCCGGTCAAACTCCCAAAGGGACAATTGTATATTAGCCTTTTGTTCTATAGGCTACACAGTAGGTGCTGTTTTTGTTACCCCTCACCCAAGGATATTTCCTCCATTTGTTTGTAGAGCGAATGGAAGGGAGGGGGAGAGACAGAGAGAGAATATGGATGTGAGAGAGACACCATGATTGGCTGCCTCCTACGCGCACCCGGACCTGGGCCAGGGATGGAGCCTGCAACCGAGGTACGTGCCCTTGACCAGAATCAAACCTGGAATCCTTCAGTCTGCCGGCCAGGGCGCTAACCGCTGAGCAAGCTGGCCAGGACTAAACAGTGTGTATCTAAAGCTGCTCGAATACATGGAGTCCCTCACTTCACTCAGGGACTCTGTGATTAGACAAAACGATGCCTTTGAAAATGCTCTGCATCTTTAATGTGTGTGTGTTTGTGTTAATCCGCACCGAGGACACTTGTCCATTGGTTCAGGGAGACTGGCAGAGAGAGGGGAAGTCAGAGAGCGCTGATGTGAGAGAAACACACTGACTGGTTGTCTCCTGCACAGGCCAGACCAGGGCCATGGCCAGGGAGGAGCCTGCAACCAAGGTCCATGCCCGTGACCAGCATTGAACCGACACTCTACCCACTGAGCACACAGGCCGGGCGGTATGGTTCTTGCCTGTCCTTCATAGAAAGCACCCACTGAACGCCTGGACCCCAGGTTCAAAGACGTGCTTCCGTCCCCTCCACGGCCTCCGCAGCCCGGGGGCACCGTCTCGGAGCTCTGAGGACCGGATTCATTGCTCCTGTCGCCCCCCCGCCCCCAGGGTGTGCGAGGAGGGCCGTGGGGGGGAGAGCTGCCTCAGGGAGTCAGGAGGAGCCCTGCTAAGCTCCCTGAATCCCCGCCCCAGCTCCTCCGGGTGTAACCTGCTTTGCACCCGGCTCTGAGTTACCGGGGAGAGCCCTAGCACTCAGCACCAGAGCTCCCCAATTAGCACCGGGCGCTCCCAATTAGCGCCCCGCGGGCGGGCGGAGTGAGGAGCAGCTGGGCCGGCAGCTGGGAGCCAGCCTCCCCCTCCGTGCAGGGCCTGTGCCGCCTGTGCCTGTGGCCCTGCAAGGGGCAGGCCCTCAGCCGCTGGCGGGCAGCGTGTGCATGGGCCACAGCCCCCAAGCCTTCCGACCCCCTGCCTGCCCCCCGCCCCTCCCCGGGGCAGGCTCCGGTGGCCTGCGCTCCCTCTGCGTTTGGTGGCGGCTGTGCACGGTGTGGCCCGTCGGCAGAGGTCAGGGGCGGCTATAAATAAACGCACCTGTGCGGGCGGGAGCCCACACCCTGGCCTGGGTGCCGGAGGGCGGCCCTGGGCGGGGAGGGCGGGGAGTGGAAGGGCGGGCGGGCGTTGAGGACACTTTGCTTAACTAAGCAGCTTGCCCTGGGGTGACCCGGGGACGGGTGCTGGCAGGTGCCTCCCCACACTGGGACCTGTGCTCCCCCCTCCGAGGCCGCCCAGCCCCAGCTCCACTGGGAGAAACGCAGCAGGCGGTGACAGCCACGGTCCTGTTCCTGGCTGAACGGTTCCCAGGACGGCAGGGCCAGGCAGACATCCAGGGGGCCCCGGGGGCCCGGAGCCCCCGGGTGGAGGTGAGAGTAGAGTAGGGGTGGAAGTAGGAGTAGGGGTGAGGTGGAGGTGGGGTGGAGTGGAGGGAGGGGTGCAGTGGGGTGAGGTGGGAGGGGTGGAGGGAGGGGTGCAGTGGGGTGAGGTGGGAGGGGTGGAGGGAGGGGTGCAGTGGGGTGAGGTGGGAGGGGTGGAGGGGTGCAGTGGGGTGAGGTGGGAGGGGTGGAGGGAGGGGTAGGGGTGAGTGGGGTGAGGGGGAGGTAGGGGTGGAGGGAGGGGTAGGGGTGCAGTGGGGTGAGGTGGGAGGGGTGGAGGGAGGGGTGCAGTGGGGTGAGGTGGGAGGGGTGGAGGGAGGGGTAGGGGTGAGTTGGGTGAGGTGGGAGGGGTGGAGGGAGGGGTAGGGGTGCAGTGGGGTGAGGTGGGAGGGGTGGAGGGAGGGGTAGGGGTGAGTGGGGTGAGGGGGAGGTAGGGGTGGAGGGAGCGATCGGGGTGAGTGGGGTGAGGGGGTGGAGGGAGCTCCAGGTGAAACGAGGAGACGGTCCCGGGCCCTCGGGCCCGGCGTGAGGAGCGATTAGAATCCGTGGGAAAGGGGACTGGCCCTGGGAGTCCCATCTCGGAGCGGGTCTGAGCACCAGGCGCCGTGATGGGGCCGGAGTCCGGGCGGCCGGGACGAGGGGCCCACGCTGCTCCCAGCGCCTCAGGAGTCCGGCCGCGGCCTCAGGACATTCCTGGGAGCTCATGTCACTCCCGTGTCAGAGCTCATCCCTCCGCTGCACCCCGGCCCGGCCCTCCGATCCGATGTCGGGGACTCAGCACATTGGGGAGACAGCTGGGCACAGCCCACGCACCCTCCTCGCTCCTCCCCACCCCTGTGCACACCCCCCCCGGCCTGCGCTACACCTACACCCCAACTCAGACAGGAGCGCTGCTGAGAGCTCGGCTCGGGGCTCCTCTGCCGTGCACAACCCAGTGCATGGCGCCCGGGTCCGAGCCGCCCCCCACGGCCGGCCCAGCACCGGCCCACAGACCTCTGCAGGGGCCACGCCTTTCAGACCCAGAGGGAACAGCTTTTCTCTTCAAAACAATTGTTCACACAGTTCGGCCGGTGATGTGGGCCCAGGAGCCAGGCCAGGGTTCGATTCCCGGTCAGGGCACAGCCCGGGTTGCGGGCTCCATCCCCAGGGCGGGGCGTGCAGGAGGCAGCTGGTCGATGATTCTCTCTCAGCACTGGTGTTCCTCCCTCTCCCACTCCCTTCCTCTCTGACATCTAAAAATGAACAACTTTTTCACAGGCTTCGGCCCCGGTCCTGGATTGTCTACACGGGCACCGTCCTCTCTCCCGGAAAGGATCTGACACAGAACACGTGTAAAGGCGTGTTCTGTGTCAGTCTCGCCGTGAGAAGAGCGCATGGAGAAGCTGACACTTTGATGGCCCAGCTCAGCCATCACTTTCAGACAGAAGGAGCTGAGACAGCGACCGGGGTCACGGGGTCACGGGGTCACGGGGTCACGGATCCGAGGGCCCAGCCCAGGCCACAGCGCTGGTCTGAACCGCGAGTCGGTGAACGTCAGCTTTTGGAGGATAGGGATGGGGTTGGGAGAGGAAGGGTGGATGGCATCATGTGAGGACCTTTTTGTAAAAACAAAACTGTGCTCACAGAGGACCAGACCAAGCACAGGCTCAGGGGCCGCGTGTCCCCCTGTGAACCAGGAGGTCCCGGTTCCATTCCCAGTCCTGGCACAGGCCTGGGTGTGGGCTCCTCTGCCAGCAGGGGGCATGCAGGAGGCAGCCGATCCGTGACTCTCATCACTGATGTTTCTAACTATCTCTCCCTTCCTCTCTGCAATCAATAAAAATACATTTTTTAAAAAAGAACAAGAGCCCTAACCAGTGTGGCTCAGTGGATAGAGCGTCGGCCTGCAGACTGAAAGGTCGCAGGTTCAATTCCGGTCAAGGGCATGTCCCTTGGTTGCGGGCACATCCCCAGTGGGCGTGTGCAAGAGGCAGCTGATCGATGATTCTCTCTCATCCATGTTTCTAACTCTCTATCCCTCTCTCTTCCTCTGTAAAAAAAACAAATAGAAAATATATTTTAAAAAATAGAACAAGAGAACTTCATGTTGGTTTAAAAAACCAGACCCTGTGTGCTGTGTCAGGGAAAAGCATAGCCACTGGTGGGCATGTGACCAGCTTTTGTTTCCTCTTACTGAGCTGTGCTTCCTGCATCTTTCGCCTCACCACGAGGAGAAAACCGAGGCCGTGCTTCTGTGAGGAACTGAGCTCAGCCTGCTCAGCCCGGCACGGACGTGGCCACCGTCCCGGTTCCCGGTGTGCGGGCGTGCGCTCCGCCTCCCGCCCCACGCGGCCGCGCCAGGGACCGTCTCCGTTCCCGGAGCCCAGGGGGGCTGGTGAGGGGCGCCCCTCCGGCCTGGCCCTGAGGCGGAGCCACGTGCACTGACTCAGAGACCACAGCTCGCTGGGACGCCCGTCCACGGAGAGAGGCCCGGCCTGAGTGTGGACACTGGCCGACCTCAGCCCTCCTGTGCATCATGGCGTGTGCACACGGCCCTGACCCGGGCTCTCCAGCGTGTGCACACGGCCCTGACCCGGGGTCTCCAGCGTGTGCACACGGCTCACCTGTGTGTCTCCAGCGTGTGCACACGGCTCACCTGTGTGTCTCCAGTGTGTGCACACGGCTCACCTGTGGGTCTCCAGCGTGTGCACACGGCTCACCTGTGTGTCTCCAGCGTGTGCACACGGCTCACCTGTGGGTCTCCAGCGTGTGCACACGGCTCACCTGTGGGTCTCCAGCGTGTGCACACGGCTCACCTGTGGGTCTCCAGCGTGTGCACACGGCTCACCTGTGGGTCTCCAGCGTGTGCACACGGCTCACCTGTGTGTCTCCAGCGTGTGCACACGGCCCTCACCTGTGGGTCTCCAGCGTGTGCACACGGCTCACCTGTGGGTCTCCAGCGTGTGCACACGGCTCACCTGTGTGTCTCCAGCGTGTGCACACGGCTCACCTGTGTGTCTCCAGTGTGTGCACACGGCTCACCTGTGGATCTCCAGCGTGTGCACACGGCTCACCTGTGTGTCTCCAGTGTGTGCACACGGCTCACCTGTGGATCTCCAGCGTGTGCACACGGCCCTCACCTGTGTGTCTCCAGCGTGTGCACACGGCTCACCTGTGTGTCTCCAGCGTGTGCACACGGCTCACCTGTGGATCTCCAGCGTGTGCACACGGCTCACCTGTGGATCTCCAGCGTGTGCACACGGCTCACCTGTGGATCTCCAGCGTGTGCACATGGCTCACCTGTGTGTCTCCAGCGTGTGCACACGGCTCACCTGTGGATCTCCAGCGTGTGCACTCCGTACTTGCTCTCGATCCTGTACTTGCCGGGCTCGGCGGCCTGGCTGATCAGGACGCCGTCTTTGTACCTGCAGGAGGAGACGGTGCCATGCGAGGGGCTGGGCGTGCCCTCCTAGGCGCCCACACCGCCTCCCAGGGGACGCTCGGGGCCACTCACCACTGCACCACGGGCGTGGGGAAGCCCTGCACGGTGAAGCACAGCGTCACGGACATGCGCTCCCACACCGTGTGCGAGCGCAGCCGCACCAGGATCTCGGGCGCCCGCCGCATCCGCTCCTCGAACACACGGCGCTCCCAGGTCAGCGCGTCCTCCGCCTGCGGGCGGCCGGGCCGCGGGGGAGCGTGAGTTCCCCGGAGCCCACGAACCACCCTGACCGCGTGGGCGGCCGAGGACGGCCCCTGCCCCCGCCGACCTACCGCCTGCTGCCTGTCGAACCGGTCCGCCTGCTGCATGGCGTATCGGTCCAGCTGCGCCCGCGCCTGCACCCGCGCCTGGTACACGTCGTCCTCCAGCCCCGCCAGCTCCCGCAGGAAGCGCTCCCGCTTGGCCTCCCCGTACAGCGCCGTCTGCGACTCGTACCTGCGGGGAGGGACGGACGCTCAGCCGCGCCGGGCCCCGGCCTGCTCGCCGGGATGCTCGCCCGTCCTGGGATGTCTGAGCGGGAAGCGGAGAAGCCAGTCCCTTTTGTCTTTCCTTCAAGGACCCTCAGGGTGTGTTCACACCGCGTGGGAGTGGAGGAGCCACCACTTAGCTGCCCCGCTGTCCCCTCCGTCCCCGCCCCCAAGGGGGTGGACCCCGGCCGCTGTGAGTCCCCCACCCTCACGGGAAGGATTCACAAGACACGAGGCTGGAGGTGAAAATTCCAACTAAACTCCGCACGCTTAGTCCTGCTCCATGTGCGAGGCCCTCCCGACGTACTGGCGAGGCCGAGTGCCGGGCGTCCCGCTCAGACCTGAGACCAAAGCCAGAGGCACCAGGCGTGGGGCCTGGGGGTGGGGTGGGCGTGGGGTGTGGACTCCGGCCCCGGGTGTCCATTCTCAGGGCCGAGAGGAACCTGGACCGAGCAGCTTTGATTTCACCCGCCGCCTGCTGTTCTCCCGGCTCCTGTCAGCGGCCCTGCCTGCTCCTGCCCGTCCCGGGCGGGCGGGGAGGTGACGGGCTGTCCCAGGCGGGGAGGTGACGGGCTGTCCCAGGCGGGCGGGGAGGTGACGGGCTGTCCCGGGCGGGGAGGGAGGTGACAGGCTGTCCCGGGCGGGCGGGAAGGTGACGGGCTGTCCCGGGCGGGGAGGTGACGGGCTGTCCCGGGAGGGAGGTGACAGGCTGTCCCGGGCGGGCGGGAAGGTGACGGGCTGTCCCGGGCGGGGAGGTGACGGGCTGTCCCAGGCGGGGATGTGACGGGCTGTCCCGGGCGGGAAGGTGACGGGCTTCCCAGGCGGGGAGGTGACGGGCTGTCCCAGGCGGGCGGGGAGGTGACGGGCTGTCCCGGGCGGGGAGGTGACGGGCTGTCCCAGGCGGGCGGGAGGTGACGGGCTGTCCCGGGCGGGAGGTGACGGGCTGTCCCAGGCGGGCGGGGAGGTGACGGGCTGGTCCCGGGCGGGGAGGGAGGTGACGGGCTGTCCCGGCGGGCAGGGAGGTGACGGGCTGTCCCGGGCGGGAGGTGACGGGCTGTCCCGGCGGGGCAGGGAGGTGACGGGCTGTCCCGGCGGGCAGGAGGTGACGGGCTGTCCCGGGCAGGGAGAGGTGCGGGTGTCCGGGCGGGCAGGGAGGTGACGGGCTTCCCGGGCGGGCAGGGAGGTGACGGGCTGTCCCGGGCGGGAGGTGATGGGCTGTCCCGGGCGGGGGAGGTGACGGGCTGTCCCGGCGGGGAGGGAGGTGACGGACTGTCCCGGGCGGGCGGGGAGGTGACGGGCTGTCCCGGGCGGGGAGGTGACGGACTGTCCCGGGCGGGCGGGGAGGTGACGGGCTGTCCCGGGCGGGGAGGTGACGGGCTGTCCCGGGCGGGGAGGTGACGGGCTGTCCCGGGCGGGGGAGGTGACGGCTGTCCGGGCGGGGGAGGTGACGGACTGTCCCGGGCGGGGAGGTGACGGGCTGTCCCGGGCGGGGAGGTGACGGGCTGTCCGGGCGGGCAGGGAGGTGACGGGCTGTCCCGGGCGAGGAGGTGACGGGCTGTCCCGGGCGGGGAGGTGACGGGCTGTCCGGGGCGGGGAGGGAGGTGACGGGCTGTCCCGGGCGGGCAGGGAGGTGACGGGCTGTCCCGGGCGGGGAGGTGACAGACTGTCCCGGGCGGGGGAGGTGACGGGCTGTCCCCGGGCGGGGAGGTGACGGGCTGTCCGGGGCGGGGGGGGAGGTGACGGGCTGTCCCGGGGGCGGGCAGGGAGGTGACGGGCTGTCCGGGCGGGGAGGTGACGGGCTGTCCCGGGCGGGGAGGTGACGGGACTGTCCCGGGCGGGGAGGTGACGGGCTGTCCCGGGCGGGGAGGGAGGTGACAGGCTGTCCCAGGCGGCGGGGAGGTGACGGCTGTCCCGGGCGGGCAGGGGAGGTGACGGACTGTCCCTGGACGGGGAGGTGACGGGCTGTCCCAGGCGGCGGGGAGGTGACGGGCTGTCCCGGGCGGCGGGAGGTGACGGGCTGTCCCCGGGCGGGCGGGAGGTGACGGGCTGTCCTGGGCGGGCAGGGAGGTGACGGACTGTCCCGGGCGGGGAGGTGACGGGACTGTCCCGGGCGGGGAGGTGACGGGCTGTCCCGGGCGGGGAGGTGACGGGCTGTCCCGGCGGGAGGGAGGTGACGGACTGTCCCGGGCGGGAGGTGACGGGCTGTCCCGGGCGGGAGGTGACGGGCTGTCCCGGGCGGGGAGGTGACGGGCTGTCCCGGGCGGGGAGGGAGGTGACGGGCTGTCCCGGGCCGGAGGTGACGGGCTGTCCCGGGCGGGGAGGGGGCGGGCTGTCCCGGGCGGGGAGGTGACGGGCTGTCCCGGGCGGGCAGGGAGGTGATGGGGCTGTCCCGGGCGGAGGTGACGGGCTGTCCCCGGGCGGGAGGTGACGGGCTGTCCCGGGCGGGGAGGTGACGGGTGGCTGTCCCGGGCGGGGAGGTGAGGGCTTGTCCCGGGCGGGGAGGGAGGTGACGGACTGTCCCGGGCGGGCAGGGAGGTGACGGGCTGTCCCGGGCGGGGAGGTGACGGGCTGTCCCGGGCGGGGAGGGAGGTGACGGGCTGTCCCGGGCGGGCAGGAGGTGACGGGCTGTCCGGGGCGGGAGGTGACGGGGCTGTCCCGGGCGGGCAGGGAGGTGACGGGCTGTCCCGGGCGGGCAGGGAGGTGACGGGCTGTCCGGGGCGGGAGGGTGACGGGCCTGTCCCGGGCTGTCCTGGTAGGTAATGGACTGTCCCGGGCGGGCAGGGAGGTGACGGGCTGTCCTGGGCGGGCAGGGAGGTGACGGGCTGTCCCGGGCGGGCAGGGAGGTGACGGGCTGTCCGGGGCGGGAGGTGACGGGCTGTCCCGGGCGGGGAGGTGAACGGGCTGTCCCGGGCGGGGAGGTGACGGGGCTGTCCCGGGCGGGGAGGGAGGTGACAGGCTGTTCCAGGCGGGCGGGGAGGTGACGGGCTGTCCCGGGCGGGCGGGGAGGTGACGGACTGTCCCGGGCGGGGAGGTGACGGGCTGTCTCAGGCGGGCGGGGAGGTGACGGGCTTGTCCCGGGGGGGCGGGGAGGTGACGGGCTGTCCCGGGCGGGATGGGTGACGGCTGTCCCAGGGGGCGGGGGGAGGGACGGCTGTCCGGGCTGTCCCGGCGGAGGGTGACGGGCCTGTCCCGGACGGGCAAGGAGGTGATGGACTGTCCCGGGCGGGAGGTGACGGGCTGTCCCGGGCGGGGAGGTGACGGGCTGTCCCGGGCGGGAGGTGACGGGCTGTCCCGGGCGGGAGTTGACGGGCTGTCCGGGCGGGGAGGTGGACGGGCTGTCCCGGGCGGGGAGGGAGGTGACGGACTGTCCCGGGCGGGCAGGGAGGTGACGGGCTGTCCCGGGCGGGAGGTGACGGGCTGTCCCGGGCGGGCAGGGAGGTGACGGGCTGTCCCGGGCGGGGAGGTGACGGGCTGTCCCGGGCGGGGAGGGAGGTGACGGACTGTCCCGGGCGGGCAGGGAGGTGACGGGCTGTCCCGGGCGGGGAGGTGACGGGCTTGTCCCGGGCGGGCGGGGATGTGACGGACTGTCCCGGGCGGGCAGGGAGGTGACGGGCTGTCCCGGGCGGGCAGGGAGGTGACGGGCTGTCCGGGGCGGGGAGGGAGGTGACGGACTGTCCCGGGCGGGCGGGGAGGGTAATGGACTGTCCCGGGCGGGCAGGGAGGTGGACGGGCTGTCCTGGGCGGGCAGGGAGGTGACGGGCTGTCCCGGGCGGGCAGGGAGGTGACGGGCTGTCCCGGGCGGGGAGGTGACGGGCTGTCCCGGGCGGGAGGTGACGGGCTGTCCCGGGCGGGCAGGGAGGTGACGGGCTGTCCTGGGCGGGCGGGGAGGTGACGGGCTGTCCCGGGCGGGCAGGGAGGGTGACGGGCTGTCCCGGGCGGGGAGGTGACGGGCTGTCCCGGGCGGGCAGGGAGGTGACGGGCTGTCCCGGGCGGGGAGGTGACGGACTGTCCCGGGCGGGGCGGGAGGTGATGGGCTGTCCGGGCGGGAGGTGACGGGCTGTCCCGGGCGGGGAGGGAGGTGACGGGCTGTCCCGGGCGGGGAGGGAGGTGACGGGCTGTCCCGGGCGGGGAGGGAGGTGATGGGCTGTCCCGGGCGGGAGGTGACGGGCTGTCCCGGGCGGGGAGGTGACGGGCAGGCGGGGAGGTGACGGGCTGTCCCGGGCGGGAGGTGACGGGCTGTCCCGGGCGGGGAGGGAGGTGACGGGCTGTCCCGGGCAGGGAGGTGACGGGCTGTCCCGGGCGGGAGGTGACGGGCTGTCCCGGGCGGGGAGGTGACGGGCAGGCGGGGAGGTGACGGGCTGTCCTGGGCGGGAGGTGATGGGCTGTCCCAGGCGGGCGGGGAGGTGATGGACTGTCCCGGGCGGGGAGGGAGGTGACGGGCTGTCCCGGGCGGGAGGTGACGGGCTGTCCCGGGCGGGAGGTGACGGGCTGTCCCGGGCGGGGAGGTGACGGGCTGTCCCGTCGGAGGCCTGCGGGGCCGGCGTACCTTCTCTTGCTCTCATGCTCGTGCTCGCTCTCCTCCTGCTCGGAGCCCAGCCTCTTGGCGCAGAGCCGGCACACGGAGCCCTGGGCCAGCAGCCGCTGGCCGGCCGCTCGCCGGGAGGTCGCCTGGGTCTGCTCGCTGAGGGACTGCTGGGAGGAGGACAAGCGGGAGGAGGACTGGGAGGACGAGCGCCTGCAAAGGCGGAGAGTGAGGGGTCAGGAACCGCTCTTCCCGCCCACCACACCACGCGGGAAACACGCACACATGCACACGCGTGCACACACATACACGGTGATGTACAAAGGTAATGTACAGGCACACATGTACACACACGAACATGTGTGCCTGTACATTACCTTTGTGTGTTGAGTTATGCAAGTGTGTGCATGTGTGTGCATTCTCACATGTGTACGTACATACACCCTTGAGTGTGCACTCACAGAGGTGTGCACATGCGTACACACTGTGTGCGTAGACTCACACGTACACGTGTGCACATGTGCTATGCACATGCACATAAATGTATGCACACATGCACACCTACATCCCTCTGCACCCGGCTCCCCCACTCAGGGACCGGATCTCCCCCCACCTCCCTGCCCAGGGCCACCTGTGCCATGGCCTGGCCGGGCACCAGGATTATATCTATCCGCCTGTGCCATGGCCTGGCCGGGCACCAGGATTATATCTATCCGCCTGTGCCACGGCCTGGCCGGGCACCAGGATTATATCTATCCGCCTGTGCCACGGCCTGCCGGGCACCAGGATTATATCTATCCGCCTGTGCCATGGCCTGGCCGGGCACCAGGATTATATATATCCGCGGGACGCCAGGCCTGGAGGCGGCCGGCCGGCCGGGGCGGGTGTTTGCCTTTGTTTGCTATGGGGACGGCAACAGGACGCGAGGACCCCAGGCGTTTCTAAATATAGGTGCGGGCACCAGGCGCCAGGAATGTCCAACACCAGCATCTCTCCTCGCAGCCCAGCCTCCCACCGGGCCCCGGCTGCCCTCGTGCCGTCCCTGGGGCGGGAGCTGGGCCCCGGAGGGTGCTGGACCTCAGAAACTCCCAGAGGACATTGGGGCCTGACCCCGCCTCTGACACAGTCACTTCACTTCTTGTTCCATTTGCTGCTCGAGCAGCAGTTCCCACCCATCGCCATTCTGCCATCCATAATCTCTCTGCTGCTGGGTCTTCCCACTGTCTTCCCTCCCACCGCCCTTGGTTTTTGGTGGCTTTTAAACTCCTGATCTGGAAGATGCATGAAGAAGGATAAAGTCAATGAACACTTCCTTTAAAAGTCCCCACCCCTTATGATCTAACCCAGGGTCAGAGCCAGTATACCAGGATCCACTAGGCTCCACCAGGATCCATCAGGATCTATCAGATCCACTAGGGTTCACCAAGGTCCACCAGGATCTACCAGGATCCACTAGGCTCCACCAGGCTCCACCAGGATCCATCAGGATCTATCAGATCCACTAGGGTTCACCAAGGTCTACCGAGATCTACCAGGATCCACCAGGATCTACCAGGATCCATCAGGATCTACCAGGATCCATCAGGATCTACCAAGATCCATCATGGTCTACCAGGATCCACCAGAATCTACCATGATCTACAGGGTCCACCAGGACCTACCAGGATCTACAGGGTCCACCAGAAACTACAGGGTCCACCAGGACCTACCAGGATCCACCAGGACCTACCAGGATCTAGCAGGCCTAGCGAGTTCTACCAGGGTCCACCAGATGCCAGTAGCACTCCACACATCGTTCCCTGCCCAGCGATGAGCCACATCCCCCTCTGGCCCTGAAGATGGGCCTCGGGGATCATGGCCACCGTGACCCTCCCCAGTCACGTCCCTCCGGGCTCCAGGGAGCAGGCAAAGCTCCTGCCTTTGAACGGGGGACGCCCATAATCCAAGTTCTACGTGTCTGAGGCGGGTGGGAACGCCCAGTCCGAGGCCACATGAGGCTGCAGAGTCCTCGGGCCCGGCCCTGCCAAGGCATGGGGTGAGTTTGGTCAGTGCTTGGCCCAAGGGAGCGGGTGGTTTCTAAGTGGATAATTCTGTGTGGCCGTGGGTGGTGTGAATGCCCCCTGGCCTCGGCAGGAAAGGGTCCTCCTCCTCCGCCTTCCCCCCCCCCCCCCCCCCCCCCCCCCGTCTAATCCGTGAATCCACTCACAGCTTGGCTGCGTATTCGTTCATGAGGTACCGGGTCTGCACATTGCGGTATGACTGGTCGAAGTGCTTGTGCCTCCGCTGGTAGAAAGGCAGGGTGACCAGCGACATCCTGGCGTTCACCTGCGAACGGAGAGGGACAGACGTGAGCCCTTCCCGGGCGGAGTCCGCCCGCTCCCAGCCGCCGCCACACCCGGCAAACGGGAATCGGGTCCACCAGAAACTACAGGGTCCACTAAAGGGGAATCAAAACCCGCGGGGCGGGACGGATGGAGGCTACGCGCATGAATAATCCCAACCAGCAGTCTGAGGGTGAGAGGCTCGGACCGCGATCCACCAGGCAGCCTCCCTCCGGCCCCGTCTCCCTCCGGCCCCGTCTCCCTCCGGCCCCCGTCTCCCTCCGGCCCCCATCTCCCTCCGGCCCCCGTGTCCCTCCGGGTCCCCGGGTCCCTCCGGCCCCCGTCTCCCTCCGGCCCCCATCTCCCTCCGGGTCCCCGGGTCCCTCCAGCCCCCGTGTCCCTCCGGCCCTTGTCTCCCTCCAGCCCTCGTCTCCCTCCGGCCCCGTCTCCCTCCCGGCCCCCGTCTCCCTCCGGCCCCCGTCTCCCTCCGGCCCCCGTCTCCCTCCGGCCCCCGTGTCCCTCCGGCCCCCGTGTCCCTCCGGCCCCCGTCTCCCTCCGGCCCCCGTCTCCCTCCGGCCCCCGTCTCCCTCCCGGCCCCCGTCTCCCTCCCGGCCCCCGTCTCCCTCCGGCCCCGTCTCCCTCCGGCCCTCGTCTCCCTCCGGCCCCGTCTCCCCCCCGGCCCCCATGTCCCTCCCGGCCCCCGTGTCCCTCCGGCCCCCGTGTCCCTCCGGCCCCCATCTCCCTCCGGCCCCCGTCTCCCTCCGGCCCCGTCTCCCTCCGGCCCTCGTCTCCCTCCGGCCCCGTCTCCCTCCCGGCCCCCATGTCCCTCCCGGCCCCCGTGTCCCTCCGGCCCCCGTGTCCCTCCGGCCCCCATCTCCCTCCGGCCCCCGTCTCCCTCCCGGCCCCCGTCTCCCTCCCGGCCCCCGTGTCCCTCCGGCCCCCGTCTCCTTCCCGGCCCCCGTCTCCCTCCGGCCCTCGTCTCCCTCCAGCCCTCGTCTCCCTCCGGCCCCGTCTCCCTCCCGGCCCCCGTGTCCCTCCCGGCCCCCGTGTCCCTCCGGCCCCCGTCTCCCTCCGGCCCCCGTGTCCCTCCCAGCCCCCGTGTCCCTCCCAGCCCCCGTCTCCCTCCCAGCCCCTGTGTCCCTCCGGCCCCCGTCTCCCTCCGGCCCCCGTCTCCCTCCCGGCCCCCATCTCCCTCCGGCCCCCGTGTCCCTCCCAGCCCCCATCTCCCTCCCAGCCCCTGTGTCCCTCCGGCCCCCGTCTCCCTCCGGCCCCCGTCTCCCTCCGGCCCCCGTCTCCCTCCGGCCCCCGTCTCCCTCCGGCCCCCGTCTCCCTCCGGCCCCCGTGTCCCTCCCAGCCCCCATCTCCCTCCCAGCCCCTGTGTCCCTCCGGCCCCCGTCTCCCTCCGGCCCCCGTCTCCCTCCGGCCCCCGTCTCCCTCCGGCCCCCGTCTCCCTCCGGCCCCCGTCTCCCTCCGGCCCCCGTCTCCCTCCGGCCCCTGTCTCCCTCCGGCCCCTGTCTCCTTCCCGGCCCCCGTGTCCCGGGCAGGGCCAGCCCCATCTGCTCGCCATCCATGACCTCCGGGCCGGTTCCCCGCTCTGCCCGCAGACATGGCCACAGACACCCCGGACGCTCCCTGCGCTCACTCCCCACCTCCGCTCGCTTCGGAGACTTGGGGTAGGGTCACCCACACCAGGGGTTCGGACTCCGCTCTGCCTGCTCGTCATTCCACAGGCTCATGGGCAATGCCGGGCACCTGCCAGCCGACACGGGCCCAGGAGGCGGTCTCAGTGCCCTCGCCTGGGTGCAGGGGCTCCCAGCTCCGCGCCTGCTCATCCCCTCTGGGCCCCGAGGCCGCGGTCCTCCACGCCCTGGTCCTCCACGCCCCTGCCCTCGCCGGCTTTCACCAATGTCACACCCTAGGCCGCCACACGGCAGGACCAGCAGCTGAGGACGCCTCGGCCACATGGGAGTGCCGGCCCTCTCCCCTCGCCTCACGGACTGCCCGGTGCCCCCGAGGCCCCAGGCGGGAGCCCAGCCCCGGGAAGCGGCTCTGTGGGCCCAGCAGAGGCCGGAGCCGCTGCCCTGGAGTCACAGCCCTCAGGAGGGACCCGGGGACTGGACCGGACCCGCTGTGTACGGACGACGCGCAGCGTTAGGAAGAAAAGGGGGTCGGGGCCCAGCAGCCCGTCATCCAAGGAAAGTGACCTCCGATGCTGCCAATGTCCTCCCACAGCCCTGCCGGCAGCCCACTCCCGCCCTCAGCCTGGGGGCCCCGGGCCCGGCCGCGGCCAGCTTTGCCGAGAAGTGAGGCTCCTGTCCCTTCAAAAATGGGCTGTGTGGGCAGTGGCCCCGGTCAGGCCTCACGCCTTCGAGAGCACTGACCACCCAGCACCAGGTGGCACCGAGGTCACCCGCCGTCACATGGCTGACCGCAGTCTGTCCCGGCCCGGCTCTCCACCGGACCTGGGAGGATGTGGGGTGAGAACTCTGCCCCCCCCCCGCCCTGCAGCGTGGCCCACACATTCGGCGTTCGTGGCAGCGACGCGAAGCGTGAGCCTGTCCTCGCCTCCTCACATCCTCACCGGAAGGAGCGTCTGTGACACGCCGAGGCCTCACCCCTCCCTGTGAGGACACCCGGACCCTTTCCCACGGCTGAGAAGGGACTCACTCTCAGGAAGCATTTCAACGCAGTGCCTGCTGCATTCCCGAGACACGCACCGGCCGCGGGAGACACCCAAGTCCACACCCAACTCAGCTGTTCTCCCAGAACCGGGGGTTCACGGCACCTGCGGGCGGCCTCCCCCAGGTAGCCAGGCCCCCAGGTAACCAGGTCCCCGGGGAACTAGGTAACCAGGTCCCTAGATAACCAGCCCCCAGGTAACCAGGTAACCAGGCCCCCGGGTAACCAGGCCCCCGGGTAACCAGGTAACCAGGCCCCCGGGTAACCAGGCCCCCGGGTAACCAGGTAACCAGGCCCCCGGGTAACCAGGTCCCAGGGTAACCAGGCCCCCGGGTAACCAGGTAACCAGGCCCCCGGGTAACCAGGTCCTCGGGTAACCAGGACCCCGGGTAACCAGGTAACCAGGCCCCCGGGTAACCAGGACCCCGGGTAACCAGAACCCCGGGTAACCAGGTAACCAGGCCCCCGGGTAACCAGGCCCCCGGGTAACCAGGTAACCAGGCCCCCAGGTAACCAGGCCCCCGGGTAACCAGGTAACCAGGCCCCCAGGTAACCAGGCCCCCAGGTAACCAGGCCCCCAGGTAACCAGGTAACCAGGCCCCCGGGTAACCAGGACCCCGGGTAACCAGAACCCCGGGTAACCAGGTAACCAGGCCCCCGGGTAACCAGGCCCCCAGGTAACCAGGTAACCAGGTCCCCGGGTAACCAGGCCCCCAGGTAACCAGGTAACCAGGTAACCAGACCCCTGGGTAACCAGCCCCAGGTAACCGGCCCTGGGCCCCAGCACCAGCTCCTCCAGTCACTCATGGGAGCTGCTGCCCCAAAGCTTCTCCAGACTAATTGCCCCGAGGACAGAGGACGGAGCACAGAGTGACCAGGAGGGGTGTTCACTGGTTTGGGGAGGGGGGAGGGAGGGACATCAGTCGGTGCCCCCATATGCACCCTGACCGGGGCTGAAACCGCACCATCAAAAATCGAACCTGCAACCTTGTGGCTGTACTGTACGCTCCTCCCGAGCCCGGCAGAGCAAATGGCTCTCACAGCATCGGCCGCGCCGCCCGGGGAGGGCGCTGTGCGCTCTGGCAGCTCCCCCCACTCCGCATTCCCCCCCACCCCCCAGTCACCTTGGAGCAGGCCGCCTGCCCAGGAGGCTGTCACCGCTCCCGGCTCAGACCCGGGCGCTCAGAGAAAGCAGACGGGCTCTGTGACCCCTCCCACTGCCCCGGGCCGGGGGGGGGGGGGGGCACGGGGAGAGGCAGCCTCCCGCAGCGTCCGCTTCGCAGAGCCTGGCACCGCAGCCCAGACCCGCCCTGAGGTCCCTCTGCGTCACCCTGTTCCTCGATGGCTGGCCGCTGCTCAGAGGACCGAGGCCCAGCCGCTCCCCACACCCTCTTCCTGCACCCCACTCCCTGCACCCCACTCACCACGCTCCTCTCCCCGCACCCCTCTCCCACCCTCGCTGCTCCCCACACCCCCCTCCAACCCCCACTCCCACCCTCGCTGCTCCCCACACCCCCCCTCCACCCCCCACTCCCACCCTCGCTGCTCCCCACACCCCACCCTCCACCCCTCACCCCCGGCCCTCGCTGCCCCCACAACCCCCCTCCACCCCCCACTCCCACCCTCGCTGCTCCCCACACCCCCCTCCACGCCCCACTCCCACCCTCGCTGCTCCCCACACCCCACCCTCCACCCCTCACCCCCGGCCCTCGCTGCCCCCACACACCCCCTCCACCCCCCACTCGCGGCCCTCGCTGCCCCCACACCCCCCTCCACCCCCCACTCCCACCCTCGCTGCTCCCCACACCCCCCTCCA